TGGAGAATAAAATCGAAAAAGGCCGCGATGCTTAGATTCTTCCAATGCTCGCATCACTATAGGATTGATATTGATAATAACTGGAAGCCCAATTTTTCCAAGTAACTTGGATATTCTGCATAAAGTAGAGTCTGGTGGAAAAAACCCGTTGGTCATGGATAATAGTCGAAATTGGGATTCTTTTTTGATATAAATGTTTTCAATTTTTGGAAATAAGCCTTGAATATTCCCAAGAAAATACGGCGCGGATGGACCAAGAAAGACTTCATCAGTAGCATTAAGATTTTCCATTACATTTTTAATTAATTCCTTGCAAAAGTCGACTGAACTATAGTGTACTTGACTTGAAATTACTGGCCAAAAATTATCTAATTCGGTTGATTGGATGTTTGAATATTCGTCTTGAAGTATAACTAAAAACCTTGCCCACGCTTCCGGAAGAACCTTATCGAAAAGATATTTATTCCAAGACACATTAAGCCTTGCAAGCGAATCAGCAGCCTAGGTTAATGAATGGCTTTAGTTCAATTCCAGAATATCAGTAATATGAAATAAGCATACATACTAAATATTCATTGTCCGCCAGAGACCAAAGTGTTCTGTTCGCATTGACCTTTAATAAGTATTCATTATAAGAAATATGTTATAAAGAATTGCACAAGTAACTTCATTCATAATTAATAAATAATCTCGAACCGCAAAATATCCATGTATCGAGGCTTGGAACGGCGTAGATATTGGAAGTGGCAAAAAACGGAAAAGCCTCCCGTTTGATTTTTGATCGCCAAGTCGTATAGCAAGGCCGACGTTTGGTACGAAATTGCATTCTCTAATATCCTTTTTGAAATTCTCTTGAAAATATTTATACACCGTATTTAAATTTCCAAGCCAATTAAAGATTAGATATTGATTTCTTTCTGGTACAGCTTGACCTTTCTTCTGGTAAAATGTCACGGTAAATGCTGATTCTAACGTGGTGATCTTATTTGGATTTTTCTCTAACAATTCCATCATCGATAATATATTTCTCGCCATCAGCCGACGCCTCGGCCTAATTTCACACGCATTTTCAATGTTAATCTCGTAAAGTAAATTTGGCTCAGTTTCCCCCTCACTTAATTCATAAAATTTAATGACTTCGACATATTTTAAGAAAAGTAAGCAATTAATTCCTTCATTTTGATAAAATTTTTCGAACATCTCTAAAATATCCTCGGGCCTATACACTTTCTTTGAAATTATCGAGTCAATAGAATCTTCAGAAGTTCGTAGTGGGTATCGAAACAAGGTTCCTTCAAATTTACGGTCACAAGGGATTCTGAATGGAGCAAATTGATCGGGATAATCTACGGCCTTTTCAATAAAGTTGCATTTGATACCACCATCATAATACCATTCATGTGGATCAAAAATTACATAACAATCGCTGATAATAAGCGATGGAGAATCGGTAATATGATATACTGAATTAAAATCAATGCCCTTCACTACATGAATAAAAAAAATCAAATATTTTATAGGAAACATTATTACATAAAATCCAACAACACATTACCTCCGATCCTATCGAATTGATCATTTTTCTCGCTATCGACTAATTTAAATAGTGTCTTAAAATCCCGTGCTTCAAAAATTGCATCGCTTCTAGATATTAAAGCCGGACCTTGATACCGATTCAATTTCAGATTCGTTCTATTCGGTCCTTCATAATCAGGCTCAAATAGAGTTTGAGTAGGATAGCTATTACGATCAAGGATGAATATTTGCTGCCGACTTTTTGCATCATCGGAATTCTGAAGAATCTCACGAAAAATCTGTAACTCATCGGGATATTCATCAAGAATTCTGTTCAAGCAGTATGCATACGGTCGACCAGGTTTAAATTTGTCTTCTCTACTCGTTCTTTGCATTTGATATAATGGCAATAAGAATCGTAAAACTTTTGCCTCTTTGCACTTTTTTGAAACAAATTAATTACGTTCAGAAAGAAGTTAAAAATCGATTTCCGAATATATGCACTGTACACACTTTAACTGCCATGTGACCTTTTATTAAGCCGTCACATGATTTTTAATAATTTGCATATTAGCCAATGACGTGATCCCAGAGGTTTATTGAAATCATCATTATTAAAGTATAAATTATTTTTATTGCATTTCTCGAAAATTTATTGAGAATTATATGTTAAATTATTTCATGGTTAATTTTTTTGCATTCATTATTATACATTTGAATTTTAAATTAATGCTATATATTGTGTTAATAATTGTTGACATATTACTTTCAAAAGTAAAAAAATATTAAATATAAAAATTTATATAATTTAAAATTTATTATTTAAAAATATATAAATAATAAATATAAATATATTAGTTTTATAATTTAAATTATTTATTTTTATTTAATAATAATAGCGAATTTTCTATTATTTTTTCAATATTTATAGTTAAATTAAACAATTTTTTTTTTTTTTTTTTGACAATGGCTCAACCTTGTTTTATTTGTATTTATGCAGTATTATTACAAAGAAAATTTCTAGGATATACTACCAGTCTACTA